ACAGGACTGGGTGGTGTTTACTGCTTTTTAAGTTGCATCACTATGAGTCAGAACTGACTCAACTGCATTAACGATAACAACTTTGGTGTGTCCATGGAATCTGTGAAAAGTTACAGAGTAATGGTTTGAGAGGAGGAATCCTATTTGGCTGAACCAATGAAGTAGAATTTTTTTTCCCTTCTTTGTTTCTCTTAAGCCTTTTATGCACATAAAAATTTTATGATCATATTTAAAATGCAATTTTCTACAACATAGAAGAGTCGTAGAGATTCAGAGTTGAAAGAATGTACCAGCTATTTGTTAAGACACTGAAGATATATTGATAAATAAAATAGACATGTTCCCTTCTCTTATCGGACTTAGTATCTTGTTAAAAAAAAACAAACCTCAAAGACTGTTTAAAATATATATATAATAAATTGTTATAGTGTCCTAGAGTGGAGACTGTTACTTGTCTGCCCAAAGTTATTCTCCATTGCTCCTTTTTACCACATCCTTTACAATTAAGTATAGCATGCAAAAATAATGAGTGAAATTTCCACCACTTATATTCAAAAAGGATGATTTATAATGTCTAATGTTGCCATTCCCTCACATCCTCAAAAGTTGGAATGCCAATAACGAAAGAGATCGTGGAAGCTATTTGTTGAAGATCAAGGAACCACCAATTATTTGGGCCTTGAAATGACCGCATGGAACAGAAATACCGTTGATCTGGTACCCCAACTCTAGGCTCTTAAATAGAAACACAGATCCAAACCTAAGATGTCAAGTGTGACTCGTGGTGACCTCATGTGCTATGGAGCAGCACTGTTGGGGTTTTGACTGTAGTCATTAGGAAAGCAGTTCACAAGAACTTTCTTCCGTGGTGACTCAGAATGAGTTTCTACCGACAACCTGAAGTTTGGTCATCTATTGGCAAACTGCTCCACGCAGGGATCAGATAATTAAATAGAGATAAATTCATTTCAATCGTGTTTAAAGTATTGCATTTGGGGTTCTCTCTTTTTTTTAATTATTTATTTAAAAAAATTTTTTTGGGGGTTCTTTGTTATAGAAGTTTAACATCTTGCTCTGCCTAATGAATACTAAGATATTAAGAGGCCTATTAGTGTAGTGGCTACTCACTGTGCTGTGACACACAATGTTGACAGTTTGGACCCACCAGTCACTCTGCAGAAGAAAGTCAGGACTTTCTACCCTTGTAAGCAGGTTATAGTTTCAGAAACCTACAGAGGCAATTCTGCTCTGTCTTATATATCTGTGAGTACTAATGGATATTAAAGAGCCCTAGTGTTATTCTGTGCTAAATATTGAACTGAACTGAAGGGCTAGCATTTCTAACTCACCAGGCACTCCATGGGAGAAAAATAAGGTAGTAAAGGATCAAGGGTAATGTAACAAAGAGGAATTGCTGAAACCCTGGTGGGGACT